GTTTTTTATAATTGGTCATTTAACCTATGTTGTCGATTAATGGGATCAAGATCGATGTTGGGTGCATGCATGAGACATTGAGTTAAGTACTTCATTTTCTATTATTGAACGATATCGTTGCATGTATAACCAGTCGAGGTACCCCAGACAGGATCTGACTCCCTTCCTGTACCAAACAGGCAGAAAGTTGGTTTATGAGTGAGATATTCGTTGCACCCTCTAAGACGCGAGTAGTTCCTATCAGTACCCTAATCAAACCCATTACCAGGCGTTCAATGAGTCCGGGTTTGTTCTCATTGAGACCAACTTCCCTGCCTAGTTCACCATTCCTAGCAGTACCCTAATCAAACACATTATCAGGCGTTCAACGAGTCCGGGTTTGTCGTTATAGAGACAAACTTCCCTGCCTATTTCACCCTTCTCTCTTATCAAGAAGTAGTCGCAGTGCCCTGGCCTGCGCTTGCCCTATGGTGGCCTTATATCCTGTGTTTGAAGTGTGAGTGAGAAAAGATATACTATAACCTCGGATTGTGACGAGCAATTTTCTGAGCGGCGATGCTTTGGGGGTTGATTGAGGAAGGGTCCGCCCAATTACGCGAATGCCCTCGTCTCCAGGGAAAAAGAGACGGCCCACGATGGTTGGTAGTTGATCGCGCCTTAGCGAGCGTGGAAAATAACGGTTGCCATAGCGTCTTCCTTGTTCTGCGGTGAGAAATATGAAATTTTGGCGCGATCGTCGCATGGGGAAATCTTTTTTGAATCTTTTTAAATTTTCAACTGACGTTGAGCCCATATGGGTTCTCAGAATTCCTTTTTGCAATTAGGGTTTAAAATAGGCTAGGAATTTGGGTGCGTCGTAATTATTGCTCGCAACTGCACGGTGCTTCTTGCTTGCTCGCGCTCTGCTGCGTCAGGGTCTATGCTCTGGCTTCCCCGCGCCTTAATCTTACATGTAACTGTAATTATCTTCTTGGCGAGCTCGAATGTAACTATAGTCCCCTCCTTCTTTATATCTCCATCCCCCCCTTGCGCGCACATATTTCCCTCAACCTTATTGGCATGAACGATGCATGACTGGATCGATGCGTGGAGAGTGGCTACGTCCCCCACGTTGCGGCCCGGTCATGCAGTCGTAGGCACTTCCTTCCTTCTCTTCCTTGTCCTCCCCTCCCACTCAGGCACAATCCCGGCTATTTCGCGTGGACGCTCACGTTATAAATTGGGCAAGCGCAATTAACTCGCTCTCTAATGAATTTTGGAGTTAGCGTGGTCGAGCGGATCGGCTAACGAGCAGGAGCTGAACGGTGAGTAGAGAGAGTTGGGCGATTCGACGGGCTGGTGATGGGTATGCAGGGCTGACGTGTGGCCGCGAAGGACTGTGGCACATGAACGAACCTGGCTTGCATGCTCGGACTAAGCGGGGTGACAACTCATTGTAGGTGCGACGACGGACTGCCCGCATCGAGAGGGTGCGAAGAGAGAGAGAGAGAGAGAGAGAGAGAGAGAGAGAGAGAGAGAGAGAGAGAGAGAGAGAGAGAGAGAGAGAGAGAGAGAGAGAGAGAGAGA